AAGATCAACTGTTCAGAGGGGCTTTTCGAGGTGTCCGCAGAAGGAGGACCTTTTCGAAGCCCAGACTTTGGTAACGATAGCCTTCAATGAGGCCGGACTCGAGAACATCATCGCCAACCTTCTCCCTTGAAAGGCTTTGCATCTAGAATTTTGATAGCTTCAGGTCCATCGAGTTTCTAGTTCAGAAATCATCGTTCAAAGGAATAAGCCGCGCTCAGCCTATGAACCTGGTCCAGCCTACCAGAGTACCCCCTTCACTGATTTGCCACACATTTCCACCGTAATGGGAAGGAGGGATCTGCTATTAGAGAGGACACGACGACATGCCCGCTCCCACCCATACGATCAATGCGGACATTACCTACGAATGCTCGACAACAGGGGTCATGCGAACAGAAGGAAGTCTCGGCATGTTCCAGGAGCCTTGCCTATAGCTTTACAAGAGGCATCTCAAACAAATCATTCTATTAAACTCACTGAAATCTCCTCCGCCTTAAGGAAGTAATGTAATGCCTGTTCATAAGTCGATGAGGGCGGTGTCGCGAAGACCGCCTTAGCCACAAGTCGAGTAGCATAACCCATATCGGCGAATGAGAAATGCCAGACGCCTGAAGCAGAAAAAATAGTTGGCCTACATGGCGAAAAAAACACCGTACTTATTCTTCATCAGTGGGTAAAATATACAGTTTTTGAGAATTTTGGATCACTCACCAAGGATGTGCCATGTTGTTGCATCGCTGGAGCATATTTGAAGTGCACGTTCGAGATGTTCCTTCACCTATACGACACGAATCGAATGGGCAGGACTGAAATTTTAGCCAACCTTACCTCGTAGGACTTCAGAAGGCGTGATTTATTTCCCTCAATTTCTCCAATATAGTCGAGAAGGATCGCATACCTGGATATTTTTCGTTGAGTGCATAAATTAATTAATAAATAATCATTCCACTCTCAAGAACACATCCCAAGCAGATTATATGGGCGGAGCCAGAAATGGGCATATCATCGCGTTGTGGAAATTTAATGCTAAACATACCACCCCTCCCTCAGTACGATCCCCTTTTTAGTCTACTTACCATCTTACTGAGGTCTTACGGACGACCAAGTAGTGGGTATAGCGCGCTTCGAACGCGATCTGGAGAACTTTTTTGGAAATTCGCAACCCCCTCTCCCCAGCAGCCAAATAAGACCCCCTACGCTGAGATTTCCACAACGGATGATGTGCCCTGTCAAACAGCTACTGCAGCCTCTAATCCTCCATCGGCACGTCCCTCCTGTTTGCTCCCTGAATAGAAGAAGCCCACCAAGGAGGTAGGTAAAATGGCTGGCTGTCTCCACCCA